TGGGAGAGGTAGGGCTGGGGTCCAGCGCGGCCATGGGGCTCGCGCACGCGCTCGCGAGGGCCGGCGATGGACGGTAGCGAGGCGGGGTGCTACGGCCATCCCGGAAGAGAAACGGCGCGGGGCAATGTGGGCTAGGCGCCCGCTCGCGCGAGAGAGAGGGGAGGAGCCGGCGTTGGGCAAGCAGAGGGAAGCGGAGTAGCTCGGTCCTCGGCTTAAGGAGCCCAAGGCAGCAGACAAGTGCACAAGGCAGGGCGTTGGCTGCCGGGGCTTCCCTGTGCGGTGCAGCGAAATGAGAGAGAGAGAGAAGAAAATGCACAGGCCGGCGCAGCATGTAGTGGCACTAGCGAGCTTGGTCCTCTCCTCTTGAACACGAATGCAGAGCAGACAGCAGAGGTAGGCAAGGATAAGACCGAGGCAGGCAGGGGCAGACAGGGGCAAACACCGAGAGAGTGAGATGGAGAAAAACAGGGCGATGACATTTACATGGCTCGGTCATCTTTGCCCGCGAAGTACCGTGATGAGACGACTTAGCTGGACACGAAGACAGACCACGGTTGAGCGACAGTGATGGCACACGTGCTGGAAGCCTGGTGAGTGGTAAGCATTGCATGTAGAGTAACTGCGCTTTGTACGGCGGACGACACATCAATCGCCAGCAGTCGCTGCTTGTCATGCTGCTGATGCTGAAATAATAATAGTGAAGGCAGGGCAACGTGGCGCGACGTAAATAAATCAGGTGACTGATTTAGAGCAGGGGAAAACACCACCGTCGTACCGGCAAGGCAGGTGGGACGAGTGGCCAGCGGCACTCTCGTTTTTATTTCTATTTTGTTTTAAGTTTTAACCTGATTAACTTCCACCAATACTTATTTCACGCAAAAGTTCATACTTCGCACTAACCCATAGAGACAAAATATTTAAGCGCTATTTAATTACTTTGCTCAATATAGTTTGCTAAAAATGGCATTTTTAAACATAAGCTCAATATTTAAATTTTAAAATCCGAGAAACTCGTTCCGAAAATTTTCCTTAGGCCTAAATCACGGTGCTAAACGAGCTCGTAACACCAGAGGTGTTACACGAAGCGTCCTCCCCCTCCTGCCCCAGGGTATGCCACGGGAAGGGCCCCAGCCATGGCAAAGACGAGTCCTCGTCCCCACCTCCTAGCTCATCCCATTGGACAGACGACTCGGAACCGTTGCCGCCCTCTTCTTCTTCTATTCCACCTCCGAACCTTGCCGCCGCCTTCCTCGATCCAACCCTGCCCACTCCTTCGCCCACCGCTTCACCTTCTCCTCATCCTTCTTTTTCTTCCTCTTCTCATATGTGGTGCAGTTCGTCGCCCTCACGGCCGCGTGCTCTGGCAACGGCGCAACGGAGGTCCAAAAGCCCAACCCCGCCGACTACTCGACGAAGCCCGCATCCAGCCGCATCGTTGGATGTCCTGGGATTGGGAACACGGTGTCGGACTCCTCCATCACCTCCATGATGCGCTGCGCAACCTCGCTGTTGCGGAGCGGCCCCTGGGTGAGCATCGTCCCATCGAGCTACGAGCCAAGCGTCATCCCGTATAGTGGGAGGGCGCACGCCATCAGCGGCGATACCCTCCTCACGTGATACGCCCCAATGACACCAGTCCCACAGAGACCATGGTTCTTTAGGAGCGCGATGGCATCTAGGAGGTCACGGAGCCTCTTCTTTTCCTTCTCGGGAGGTCCCCACCCCCACATCGGTGGCGCCTCTTCGATTAGGCGTCCAGTGAAGTCCGGCAAGGGGGCGACGGCGGCATTCTTCTCGTAGAACCAATGCACGTGCCATCCCTTGTTGGACCTCAACAGCGGACAAGTCATGTACTCGGTGGACCGGTGGCCCCGGAGGTGGATACCTGCGTATCCCATCGACACCGATAGGTCCCCACTTCTCTCCCTTTTCTTGTGCAGGGAGATGGAGAAGAAGTACCTCCGCAGCTTGAAGTGGGGTTTGATCCCCAGATACCCTTCACACAGTACGATGAAGGCCGCGATGTGCTGGACCCCGTTGGGATTCAGATGCTGCAACTCGATCTGGTAGTGGTGCAGTAGTCATCGGAGGAATGGGTGGGGAGGAATCGTGAGTCCACGCTCGTGGAAGGGCGCTGGAGTGGCTCTTGCTCTTGCTCTCACGACCAGGCACGAGCCACTCCACCGCCTCAGTTCTCCCACGGAGAAGACCACGCTTGACGAGGCCCTCCATGCGCACGTGGGTGACGTCGAAGCGATACCATGACTCTATGGGAAGCAAGGGCGGAGGAACGAGAACTTCACTGGCGGTGGAAGAGCGAGAGCAAGAGATCCAAGTGCTTGCGGTGGAGAAGCGGAGAGGATGAGGCTACGGTTAGGCGTATCAAATACAAAGGGAAAGACCCGTACTTATAGGGGAAGGTTGAGCGAGAGGCGAACCATCTGCCTCGATCGACGCGCCTGTCGCGCCTCGTCACTTCACCTCTCCAGAAGTCGTGCGCACGCCACCCCCGGCCGCCCCTCGATGGGCCAAAAAACACCACAGGTAAGGAGGGATACGGAGCTAAAAACGCTCCCATGGCCATTAAGGCCCAGGAGTTCAAATGTTGGTCCATCGATGGGTTCACAACCGCTCCGGGGCACCTTTAGAGTGAGGAGTGGTTAAGGATGGGCCAGCTAGTGGCCAGTACCCGGGCGCACAAGCGCCACGGGCATCCCGACCCACATTCGAGTCTTGGCCGGTGGACGGTCCATGGTTTTTCCTCGAAGAAAGGCAACGAGCCCTTAGGACCGGTCGAACAGACCCGAGAACTATATGGACTGGCCGTCAAGAATTTGGAGTCGATCACCAGCTGACCCATGCCGGACCCCCACGAACGGGAAGCCGGGGCCCCACTCAAACTAGCCCGTTAACAGCTCACCGAGCACCATGATTCATCCATCGAGGAAAATATGGCACGGCTCAACCCCTCCGTTTTATCGAAAAAACGCTTGAGGGAGGACGACCGCAACACGAGTTGACCCTTCGACTAGACCCTTGCTACGCGTGGGGGCTTGAGGGAAGTTGGACTCGCAAGGAGACCGAATACATGGTCGCATGACAATGGCGGATCGATCAGATCCTAGGGAGGGATCGGAATCAAGAGAGATCTTTTCCGACCCCTTGAATCCCGCAGTTGCATGCTCCCAAAGAATCTGAACGCAACGGAAAGGAATCGCGACCCTACCAAGACACCCCGCGGCTCGCAAAGGGAGATCAAGGCCCTCAGAATTCTTCCGTCCGAAAAAGCCTTCAAAGGAGTATCCTACTCCTCCGTAAGCTCGGGGGCTACTGTCGGGTATCTGTATTAGGGATACCTAGAAGAAGGAAGCTGATAGCCGCAAACGCTAACTCGTCCGGATGGTCAAGAGCATATTTTGGTTTTGCCCCACCCCGAAGGTACGGGCTCCGTCCCGTCCGACCCCGAGGGCACGGGCTCCGTGTCACCCAACCCCGAGGGCGCAGGCTACGTGTCGCTCGACCCCGACGGCGCGGGCTCCGCCCGACCTCGAGGGCGCGGACTTCGCCTCGCCAGATCCCTCAAAGGTGGATTCTGCCTCGCCCGACAGGGGTCCGTACCGCCTCCAACCACTACGGGTTTAAGAGTACGAACGAAGGGTTAAACTTCTGACACCAGAAGGAGATTAGGTGCGTCTTGATGAGACCTACGGCAACGACGGGCCATACCTAAGGACTAACGCCACCAACAGTGTCAGGCGTGCCAGCGCTATGCTACCTAATCCCCGTACCACTTCCGATGGGGGTATCTGCTAACCATGCCGCCCGCTGGAACAGAATGGAGCGCCACAACTAGCTGACGATGTCCACGTATAGCGCTAGTGATGAACACGGTCGCGACGTGGAGACGTCCCCATCATCATCTATAGGACCGGCAGGACCCGCGTAAAGGAGACGAAGGGCGCTGCGACCCCGGAGGCCTTCTTCCTCACTTTTCTCTCTCTCTCTCTCTTTCTCTCGTGTAACCTGCGCTTTCCCTTTCAACTATAAAAGAAGAAGTAGGACACCCACGAAGGAAATGGCTCAACGCTGAAAGAAACTGAGTTCAACTAGACTCAACTCCATTCGATCATTTCATCAGAGACTTGGGACTTTTTCTCTCTTGTTCGTTTGTAACCTCTACTACAAGCAAGTGCCGGTAACACGAGCAGGCTCAAACTGGATGTAGAAATATTTCGCCCAAACTAATATAAACCCTTGTGTCATCCGAGCACACCATCCGGGACAGACGCGTAAACACAAATTTACTAGTCGGCGGTTCGAAACACCGACAGTTGACGTGTTAGGTAGGAGCCTTGTTTTATGGAGTCCTCCTTTTTTTTTTTGGGGTGGGGGGGACGGAGGGCTGGCACACGCGCAGATAAAACGGAAGAACGGCGCTGGCAGAGCATATACTGCCATACGCGCGGATAAATACAGCCATACGCGCGGATAAAACGGAAGAATGGCGCCGCTTGATGGCATGCCGCACGCCTTCCACAGTGCGTGCTCAGGAAGTCAGGAGAGTCGCACGTCCTCTTCTTCCAAATTGTTGCTAGGATCATGCTTTGTCGCTCTTGGAGGGGAACTAATTCTTCATAAACAGGAATTTTATCTGAGTCTTACAATAAATCAATAATATGCTAGTACTAAGTTAAAAACACAGTTATTTCCGTGAATAAGAGAGCCGGATCAACCAGAGCCAATGTGTATGTTCCTAGTCATTTTGGTCTGGCTTTATTTAAATCTTTGTGAAGGAGATGTACAAAGAAACTTGTTGGCATTCCACAAAAACTAAAATAATTCCTTCTGTTTGTATGGGAAATTAAACTGGAAATCGTATTCCAGACTGACTAAAATAATTCCTAATGTTTGTATGGGAAATCTAAACTGGAAATCGTATTCCAGGCTGCAACAGTGCTACCCTCCTTCAAAACACTTGAATGCAGAAATCCAAACATCTATTATTTATGGTGCCTATCATCACCAAGAGAAGACACAACAGCTACCTGTTCAAATCAAATGCAAGACATTTATAGTACTTGTCTGGTGCGACCTTTTCATCCGAAAAGAGTAAGTAGAGAGTCAGGTTTCGACTAGAATCACAACAGCAAAAGATACATCATGAAAGAAGGGAAACGAAATTCTGATCTGGGTAAACACGCTCTAGCAGATCCAAACTAGACAACAACAGAATGCCATATCAGCATCAGAACGTAAATGATGATTCAAATACAAAATACTAGAGATGTAAGTCTAATCAAGCACACCCCGGATACAGAGCTTGACACAAATGACATGGCCAAGCGGCACTGCACAGCCCACAGGTAAAAGATCCGTTTGTTTGCACCAAGGTCACAATGCAGAAGGTATCAGGGTTAAAATGTCCTGTTGTAAATGCCAGTTGTTACATTGTCGAACACATATCTGGCAAGCTTGGGGGAAACAGCCTGGGGGCAGACCACTTTAACTGGATGGACCATATGCATCACCGAGTCCGAATTTTGATGGCCTTGGCTACATGTCACTTAGTTACTGAGTGCCCCTCACAATCACAACTATGGGTTAAAACACACCACATGATATAACAGAATGAAATCTGCAGCATGAATAGAAGCTGAGTCAACCAGGCATCCAGATAGATACAGCTTTGGAAAAACTTTGCACGACTATGAAGGCATTTTTTTCCTGTTGGCCAATGCTAGGCTTAATCTATTATATAAAATTTGGGGTAGTGAAAATTCATGACACCACGAAATCATACAAACTACTACTGACCAACAAATAAAACCTTTTGAGCACTGAAATGTCAACTCCCATTACTACTGCCAAGGTTGTGAAAAGTTAGGAGAAGTCCATGGTTGGATGAAAACTAACACCGCCATCAACTGTAACTAGCTCCGATTTTTCTTATCTAGTACTACTTAAAATATACGGACGGGTTTCGTCCAAAGTTTTTCGTGTGCACGCCCCATCAAAAGTCCGAGATGGGCGCCCCATCAAACCTCCGTGTCTGAACCGGAAAAAAGAAAAAGCTCCGTCACGGCGTTGCCTGCTACCGTTCCCCCGTCGCGTCTCCCTTCCACGCAATCGAGTGCAATCTCTGCCGCTTGAAGGAAGCAGAGTAGTAGCACAAGCAAGTAACTTCCTGGGGAGGGATCGCTGGCACCAGGGCCTGGGCCTCCTGTTCGTGGTCCTCTCCGCCATGTTCGTGCTCCTGAGAAACGGCGGCCAGACCACGGCAGGTGCAGGGACGGGATGTGGCCGGATGGCAGCACCGGCCCAGGGAAAAGCAGCGCCTCCATGCGTAAGGTAGGAAGGTGTAGACTGGAGAGATAAAGCTCCGCCGCTTGAAGGAAGCAGAGTAGTAGCACAAGCAAGTAACTTCCTAGGGAGGGATCGCTGGCACCAGGGCCTGGGGCTCCTGTTCGTGGTCCTCTCCGCCGTGTTCGTGCTCCTGAGAGACGGCGGCCAGAGCACGGCAGGTGCAGGGATGGGATGTGGCCAGATGGCAGCGCCAGCACAGAGAAAAGCAGCGCCTCCATGCGTAAGGTGGAGATTGGAGAGATAAAGGAAGGCGCGACGCGTGGCTCCGTCGTGCCGTGCGTGAACTGGTGATAAGGTGGAGAGAGAAAAAAAAAAGAAAAAAAAATAAAGGAAAAATGGTAGTATGGACATTTTACACGTTTCAACAACTAGGAGAAACTATTTTACCAAACATGAAACATTTTCTAACAGTTCAAGCTGAAGCTAAAAAAAACTGATTCATCATATAAGTCGCAACAGTTTTGGTTAGAACTAGAGCTCTACCAAACGGGCCATTAATTTGTTCATGTGAAATTAGTTAATCAATATATATAGAGAGAGAAAAAGATGCAATCACCATCCGAATGCCTCATCACGGTGAGCTATATGTGTCGCCATGGACATATGTAAAAATTAATGATCCCAGTGCAACGCACAAGCATATATACTAATGGAAACCGTGCTAACTAATGATTTCTTTCTGTCTATTAAAAAAATAGTTGCCCAATTCCTCAAGAAAAAAAGGTGGCCACCAATTACAAAAAAAAGTGGCCAAAGTGAATCGAAATGACTTAAACAAGTCATCCAAAACCGAATCTACGTGTTCACGTCCGATAAGATTTTTATTGTTTTCTATTCTATAAATCTGTCAACGCAAGTGTAAAAAAAGGCATGTTCCCGTGTAATGCACTTATGCACGGGCATTTATCTAGTAAGACTAAAAATGTAACGTTCATACCTGGTGAGCCGGTATTTACACAAGTTGTCTTATTCCTTCAAGAGAGTGGCTACAAGATCACTCTCTAATATCACTATTGGCAGTATATAGCCCGGTCTATCTGAGGAGGTATTGGTTTTATCTCTGTTCCAAGTTCTTGCTCAATCCGATACCTGTAACCAACAGGAAAAAAAAAATTATGTTATAGCAGGAAAAAAAGAGAGAAAAGACAACATCTGCAACAGTCATTAGAATGCATACAAGTTAAAGCGATCCTCGTAGGTGATCAAATTCACAGCCAAACCAAGGTGGCCAAACCTCCCAGATCTACCAACCTGTAAGAGAATAAACCATCAAGACAGAGAAGCGAATCAACATACGGTACCATGCTAATTTGCTCAATCATTATGGCTAAGGAAAAGCAGAAAAGATGATAACAGGGATAATATTAATACAGTTGTACCAGATGACATGTATTTTCTCTATACTATTTCCAATCAAATGTCTACAGTAGAGTATTATTTCTCCGATACTGAAATGCATCATTGGAATAAAGAATTACAATGTGAACATCAAACTCAAATCTCAATGTTTTCAATGCATACCCTGTGAAGATATGTCTCTGCGTTCTTGGGGAAATCAAAGTTGATCACAACATTGACAGCCTGGATATCTATTCCCCTTGTAAAAAGATCTGCAAAGGGAAAGAAAAAATGTTAGAACCAGAGGTCAAACAAGAATCCACTTCTAAAATGGAAAAATACGTTCATCAGCGAACTAACAGCCTTTGGTGATAACGTGTCATTGAGAGCAAGATATTCTGTCAGGCTAACCTTTTGCAGGCAACTAAGAAAAATAATTGATCTGTTCTCTACCATTTAAAGTTTTATTAGGAGAAAAAATACTCTTTCTTTCAGGCTACAAGATTTCAAGACAACTATACCTCTCTAAAGAGCACACACATCACAATATTGGTCATTCATGGGGTACCAAAATGAGGTAACAATAACAAAATTTAGAGTGTTCGTTGTGTTTAGGATTTACTATTTAGAGTCCACAAGCATTTCATCTCTTCATCTGTGGTATCCATACGATGACATGAATGAACTGCCCTTCTGTATAGTAAACAATTTTAGGTAAAATGACAGGTACCAAAAAATGCCAGATCAGACAAGTAACTAACAGCATCTCTTTTTTTCTTTTCTTTTTTTGCTGAAAATTTACTCTCTCCTTGCTCTTTTTGTGAGGCTGAAACTTTAACCTTAATACCAATGCAAAACAGAGCTACGAGCAAACATCCAAATATATCCTGGAATTCCGTTTGTTCAAAGGTCCCTAGTTGCACAGAGGTGAACAGTGCCCAACTCAGGGTCTAAGGAGGTTGGTTTGCCCAAATGTCTTTGGACTTGTCAAGAAAGCTAATTTATATACTGAGTTATTGTAAGATGAGGCAAAACAGGCTACATATTTAAAGGACATGGAAGAAATGTCCTCCATATACTAATAATCATTTTACACTACTAAGTTCCAAACAGGTGGTTATTAAAGAAGATCTAAGCAAAGACATATTAGCTAAGATAAGCGAAGGCATGCTAGCTAAGATATAACCTCCATTGTTGAAAAGCAACAACACAGAAGTAATAGTTTAATTGCAGTAAGGAATGGGGAAAAACTATCCATAGTTACAGGTAAGGTAGAGCTTATGAGTACAGAAAGGTAATATTTAACTGCCACAAAATACTTCCATTCAATCTAAAAAGAAAGGAAGAAAACAAAAATAAAGCCAGAGCCTAGAAAAGGAAAGTCCGATACCTGTACACACAAGGTTCCTGCATGCACCATTGCGGAAATCATGAAAAACCCTATTGCGATGATCTTGAAGCATTTTAGCATGGATGTAGAAGCAAGAGTAGCCAAGCTCGGTGATCTTCTTTGCCAAAAGTTCAACACGATTTACAGAGTTACAGAATATTATTGATTGGTTAATTTGCAGCTGTATGTAAAAGAGTGATATGCATCAGTTACATACCAATGTATTCCAGGTGACAATAGAGGTGAATACAAGGGGGAAAACAAACCTTGGAAAAGAGAGTATTAAGACAATGAACTTTCTGCCTTTCTTCAACAAAAGCATAAAACTGAGTAATTCCCTTAAGCGTAAGTTCATCCATAAGGTTTATAACATAAGGTTTAGGAAGATATTTGTCCTTGAATTCCTTGACGGTCACAGGGAATGTTGCTGAGAACATCAAAATCTGTCGATTCGATGGGAGGTATCGAATCAACTGCTCAATAGAAGGTTGGAACTCAGGAGAAAGAAGCTTGTCCGCCTACAAGGAAAAAAACGGCTGTAAGTGCCTATTTATTGAGAAATCTTTCACCACAGCACCAATTCAAACTTTAACTTTCTAATATTATCCTCTCTTTTTTCTTCACAGACCCATAGGGCTTCAAGTCTGCATTGTAGAACTTAAATTTCATATATATAATACATAATGACCCATGCAGACGTAGTCCACGTAATCAGATTTGAACATTTTTTTGTTGTCGTCCTAGAATCATAATAGAGTAACTGTTGATGCTCTCTGTCCCAATAGGAATAACAGAGACATAAAAGACATTTTTTGTTCCACTTAGTCTCAAATAGAAAAGCTGTTAGATAATCTGCTGCATCCCTGTGTGAACACACGGCAGGGGAAGGCGGCGCCGAAAAGGCTCCCTGCCCTGCTGTGGTACTGTAGCCACAGCAGGGGCAGGCGCCGAACGGCTCTCCTGCCGCACTGTAGCCACAGCAGGGGTAGGCGACAAAGTCAGACTTGCTATCACATCTAGTCATTGTAGCAGCATGGCAGCCTGACATGTCTGTACTAGTGTTAGATGGATAGAGTTGTATATATAGTTTGCCACTGCAACTCAGTAAAGAGAGCGAGTTCAGTTTGCCATCTCCTCTGCAGAGTTCCGGCGAACGCTGGTGCTTGTGCTGTGTGTGTGCTCTGTTCTCCCTCTCTTCTTCTACCTCTAGCCATAGTGTGGTCGCCAACGATAGTGTCGTGGTTGGCATCGCTAGTGTGTGCTCGGCAACACTAGTGAGTGGTCGGCTAACTCCGTGCTGGAGATCCAGTGACCTAACAAGTGGTATCGGAGCCGTACAAGCGCCGTCGCCGGACTAACCGCTGTCGATGACGGACGGTTTGGAGATGGACGACAGCAACGGTGCTACTGTGGCAGCCCAGCCACGACAGGTGGTCGTTGTGTGCACGGTGCGGGAGGTCAGCGGCACCAGTTGGCCGACGCTGACTCGCACCAACTATGGCGAGTGGTCGGTGACCATTAAGGTCAAGCTCAGAGCCCGACGGCTCTGGAATGTTGTTGGCAAGGGCACCGAAAACGAAGAAGACGACATGTCAGCGTTGGAGGCTATCCTCGCTGCTATACCACAGTAGTACAGGGAGCCGTTGGGGGCGAAGAGCTCTGCTAAGGAGGCGTGGGAGGCCATTGCGGCGATGCGCGTCGGTTCCAACCGCGCAAAGAAGGTGACGGTCCAGCTGCTGAAGCAGGAGTACGCCAACCTCAAGTTCAAGGATGGTGAAACGGTGGAGGACTTCTCCCTCCGCCTGCAGACACTCAACAGCTAGCTGAGGAGCCGCGACGTCACCATCGACGAAGAAGAGGCGGTCTCCAAGTACCTCCACTCCGTGCCGGTGAAGTACATCCAGATCGCTCTCTCCATAGAGACGACGTTGGTCCTGTCCACCCTCACCATTGAGGATGTCACTGGTCGGTTGCGGGCGGTGGACAAGCGCCTGGAGCAGGCGACAGCAACGAAGGACAGCGAGAAGCTCCTACTGGCAGAGGAGTGGGCTGCCCGGAAGAACTCCGGGGTAGCCTCCTCCAACCGCGGTGGCGATGGCAAGCGCCGCGGCAAGGCTTCTTCGGAGAAGAAGAAGAAGAAAGTCGACCCCAACGCCTGCCGGCGCTACGGGAAGACGGGCCATTGGACACGGGAGTGCCCAAATCACAAACAGGAGAAGAAGGCTGAGGCCCATCTTGCGCAGGCTGATGATGAGGATGAGGCCACTATCCTGATGGCAACGTTCTGCGCACTGCACGACGTCGAAGCCGAGGAGAAGGAAGAGGTGATGGCAGTGGAAGGGCCTGGGAAGGCTCTGAAGGATGTCAACCTCGACGAACCGCGCGCCCAAGTCCACCTCGGACGTGTGGGCGGTGAGCAGGAGCAGCGGTGGTACCAGGACTCCGGCGCCAGCAACCACATGACGGGCTCCAAGGCAGCCTTCTCCGAGCTCGACGACGACGTGACCGGCACGGTGAAATTCGGTGACGGCTCAAGGGTGGCTATCCAAGGGCGTGGCACCATCATCTTCAGGTGCCAGAATGGCGAGCACCGCGCGCTAACGGATGTATATTACATCCCACAGCTGCGTTCAAGCATCATCAGCGTTGGCCAGCTGGATGAGCGCGGTAGCGAGGTACTGATCAAGGACGGCGTCCTCAGGATCAGGGACCGAGAGCAACGACTTCTTGCCAAGGTGAAGAGGTCCTAGAACCGGTTGTACCTGCTCGACTTGAAGGTGGAGCAGCCGGTATGCCTGGCGACACGACACACCGAGGAGCCGTGGTTGTGGCATGCCCAGTTCAGACATCTCAGCTTCGACGCGCTTGGTCGGCTAGAAAAGATAGTCCGAGGGCTGCCTCACATCGAGCATAGAGGCGAGCTGTGTGACAACTGCCTGGACGGGAAGCAGAGGAGGTATCCGTTCCCAAAGGCGGCCAAGTATCATGCGGCCGGACGCTCTCGAGCTCGTCCACGGCGATCTCTGCGGGCCAATCACGCCAACCATAAACGGTGGTCGGCGGTACTTCCTCCTGCTCATGGATGATTATAGTCGCTACATGTGGCTGCAACTCCTGACGAGCAAGGACGAAGTGGCGATGGCGATCAAGAAGTTTAAGATGCGCGCAGAGGCGGAAAGCGGCAAGAAGCTCCGCGTGCTGAGGACTGATCGCGGCGGCGAATTCACTTCGGTAGAGTTCGCTGCGTACTGCGCGGATCAGGATGTGGTGCGACACCACACTGCGCCATACTCGCCACAACAGAATGGCGTGGTGGAGCGGCGGAACCAGACAGTGGCCGGCATGGCTCGATCCATGATGAAGGCCAAGGGCATGCCGACAAGGTTCTGGGGTGAGGCGGTGACCACGGCAGTGTTTATCCTCAACCGCGCGCCCACCAAGGCCCTGACGGGCAAGACACTGTTCGAAGCTTGGTATGGGCGCAAGCCGAGCGTGTCCTTCCTCCGGACATTCTGCTGCATCGGCCACATCAGGAAGACGAAGCCAATCCTCACCAAGCTGAAGGACAGGAGTACACCGGTGGTACTCTTGGGCTACGCGGAGGGTACCAAGGCGTACCGGCTCTACGACCCACGCGGAGACAAGGTGCTTGTCTCGTGTGACGTCGTGTTCGACGAGAAGACGGCTTGGGACTGGAACAGTCCGAGCACGGGGGAAGCTGGCGGCTTCACCAGCACCTTCGTCGTTGAGCACTTGGTCATCCACGGTGGTGGAGACGCTGGGGAAGAGGTGCCGAGCACTCCAGCGACAGAGCCGAGCACTCCGGGAGGGATGCCGAGCACTCCGAAAGGGGTGCCGAGCACTCAAGGAGTGGAGCTGAGAGGCCTGCAGTGGTGTCGACCACTCCGGGATTCAGTCTTAGAAACACTCCCGTGCGAGCCCAAGAGATCTTGCGATGGTTCCGATCACTTCAAGATCGAGTGAGCACTCCTGCAGATGGTGCCGAAACCGCAGGGCGGCGATAACGTTATCCGAGTAGTGCCGAAACATTTATGCAACCGTGGTGCCGAGCACTCCAGTCTTTGTCTTAGAGCACTCCGTGAACAGGGAACTCCATCAACGCCGATCGAATCCGCCTCACCCCCAAGTGACATCACTGAGTTCGTGGATGCCTTCCACGACGGTGAGGAGGTGCGGTTCATGCAGTCGGGCGACATCGTCGGCGACACGACAGGCCCTCGAACTGGCGGGACGATCGCTCAATGACCCAGTAGCGCTTCGTCAATGCGGAGGAACCACCCACGTTCACGCCGCCGAGCGCGATGGAAATCGGGCGACGAAGCGTCTTTGCCGGAGAGATGAAGGCGATAGAGGAAAACGACTTGGGAGCTCGTCGATCCACCTCAAGGATGCCGTCCGATCGGGCTAAAGTGGGTGTACTAGGTCAAGCGGGACGAGCACGGCGCCATTGTCAAGCACAAGGCACGCCTCGTCGCCCGAGGCTTTGTCCAGCGCGAGGCCATCGACTTCGAGGACGTCTTTGCGCCGATAGCGCGCATGGAGTCTGTCCGATCGCTTCGCTTTAGCGCAGCTGGCGGATCGGGTGCGTCCATCATTTGGGCGTAAAATCGGCCTTCCTCAACGGCGAAATAGGGCGGAGACGGTCTTCGTCGAGCAACCTCCGGGTTTCATTTGTTAAGGGAGCGAGCACGGTGGTGCTCGATCGCGCAAAGGCGCTCTACGGCCGCAGCGGCGAGCTCCGAAGGCGTGGAACGCCAAGCTTGACGCCACATTGGGCAAGCTTGGTTTCCAGCGGTACGCAACCAAGCACGAATTCTACACGCGGCGACGGGGGAAGGAAGAGCTTGTCGTCGGCGTGTATGTGGACAACTTGATCGTCACTGGCGCGCGTGCGGAGGACATCGGCAGTTTCAAGCGCGAGATGGCGGCTCGTTTTCGAATGAGCGATCTCGGCGCGCTCTCCTACTACCTCGGCATCGAGGTAAGACAGGGAAAGGAGGCGCTCACGCTTGGTCAGAGCGCGACGCCTCGTCGTTGGAGCGGAGCGGCATGGTGAAAAAAGCCGCGTGTGACTTCGATGGAGGAGCGGCTGAAGCTGACAAAGGCCAGTACTGCGGCGAAGGTAGATGCAACACTCTACCGGAGCATTGTCAGCGGTCTGCGCTACCTAGTCCACACAAGGCCGGACATTGCGTTCACCGTGGGCTACGTCAGCCGCTTCATGGGGGATCCTCGAGAGGATCACTGGGCTGCGGTGAAGTGGCTGCTGCGCAATGTCAAGGGGACGGTGGATCAAGGGATCGTCTTACCCAAGACCGGCGGAAGCAGGCTGCAGCTCACTGTGTTCAGCGCGGGGGACATCGATGGACGGCGGAGCACCTCTGGCGTACTCATCTTCCTCGGGTCGGCTCCAATTTCATGGCTGTCGCTGAAACAGAAGGTGGTGGCGCTGTCGACGTGCAAGGCAGAGTACGTGGCGTCGGCCGCAGCGGCGTGTCAAGTTGTGTGGCTACGCCGGCTGCTGGGCGAGCTGACCGGTATGGAAGCTCACCCACAACACTGATGGTGGACAACCAGCCCGCTATCGCGCTCGCAAAGAATCTGGTTCTCCACGACCGGAGCAAGCACATCGACGTGAAGTTCTACTTCCTCAGGGACTGTGTCGATAGAGGGCAGATTGTCATCGAGTTCGTCGAAACTGGTCGGCAACTCGCGGACATCCTCACCAAGCCGTTTGGCCGTCTTCGACTCACGGAGCCGAAGAAGATGATCAGCATGGAGGGGGTTCTAGGGTTAGCAACAGGATTAGGAGAAGAATTGTTAGATAATCTGCTGTATCCCTGTGTGAACACACGGCAGGGGAAGGCGGCGCCGAAAAGGCTCCCTGCTGTGGTACTGTAGCCACAGCAGGGGCAGACGCCGAACGGCTCTTCTGCCGCACTGTAGCCATAGCAGGGGCAGACGCCAAAGTCAGCCCTGCTGTCACATCTAGTCATTGTAGCAGCATTGCAGCCTGACATGTCTGTACTAGTGTTAGATGGATAGAGTTGTATATATAGTTTGCCACTGCAACTCAGTAAAGAGAGCGAGTTCAGTTTGCCATCTCCTCTGCAGAGTTCCGACCAACGCTGGTGCTTGTGCTGTGTGTGTGCTCTGTTCTTCCTCCCTTTTTCTACCTCTAGCATAGTGTGTGGTCGTCAACGATAGTGTCGTGGTCGGCATCGCTAGTGTGTGCTCGGCAACACTAGTGAGTGGTCGGCTAACTCCGTGTCGGAGATCCAGTGACCTAACAAAAGTAAATCATTACATGGCCAGGCAAACTGAGAATAAGGTAAAAAAGGGCAAACCCAGTGCCGGAGGCTCCCACATGAGTGGGGTATGGGGAAGGAAAAAACCGAGGCAATTAAGAAGGGAAATGAAACTGCCAGGAGTAGAGTGTGAATAAATCTCATCAGTCAAAAAAATTGTAAATGCACTCCTTTTGTCATTGTTTAATAATACTTCCTTTCGTAGATAGTGTTTTCTTTTTGTCTTTGATTTGTACGTCCTTTCATTTCATAGATATATATAATAAGCATAATTATAGGACACATGACCATAAAAATACTTCAGCAAGGATGTTGAAAAATGTAAGTCTATTTATATTAAGAACATAAGTAACCCCGCATGATAACAAATGTAATACCTCATCCATTATAAGCATTGAACACTCCTTCAGAATGCAAATGCCTTTCTTTGTAAGGTCCAAAATGCGACCAGGTGTCCCAACAAGTAAATGAACAGGTTGATAAAGCCGAATGATATCATCCTTTAGGCTGGTTCCGCCAGTAGTGACCATAACTTCAATTTCCAGGTGTTTCCCAAGTTCTTTGCAGACTTGCGAAGTTTGCAAAGCCAATTCCCTTGTAGGGACCAATATGACGACTGAATAAGAGAATACGAGAAAAAAGAAGTCAGAACTCAAAAGGTCATATTGATCAGGAGTGCCATGCAGAATAATAATATCTTGAATTGAAAAACACCTTGGATAGCATTTTTGTCTTGGTCAATCTTTTCTAGAGCAGGTATACAAAATGCAGCAGTTTTGCCAGTTCCATTTTTTGCTCTTGCAAGAATGTCACTACCAGTTAATGCAATAGGAATGCTTTCTTCTTGGATAGGTGAAGGCCTTTCAAATCCTTTCTCATATATTCCCATAAGTAGTTCACGTTTCAGAAAATAGTCTTCGAATTCATTTCCCTTGGTCGCAGTAACATCCTGCACAAAGATTTTTTTTTTAATAAAATCAGTAAGAAATAGAGAAATTTACATCGGATACCAATCACCAATGAGAAAAAAATACATAGATACATGGCCTACAATGATAAAAAAAGAACAAAGATCACACAAACTTGACATTTAACTCAGTCAACAATGTGTTCTTATAAAGGAAAGAAGGTTACAAAATTCTGATGGGGTTCCAAATTTGATGGATGTATAATAGTGTAAAGAACAATAGTCTGTTGAGTATCAACAGCATCAAATACCCTGCTTTCATAGTCCAATATCTAATCTCATAGTACCAACACATCATCACTTGTAATGAACACAACAAAGAATGGATACTATATCTTACTCCAAACATCAAAATTTGCAACGCAAGTACACAAGGCAATGTGTTGCCCCATTGCCTGACGTGCATGCCTCACCCATTCTAGTCTGCTGGCTGATCAATTCCACCATCTCCCGCACGATTCAGCCTCCTCCTGCTCATCAATTCCTAGATTCCATCACCAGCTACTGTCACCCACTCTTTGTGCCTCAATTCCACCATTGGGAGGTCACAGGAGGAGGATGCAGATAAAGAGTAGGGATGCAGGTTTTGGGGTCAACCCAACGACCAATCACCCGATATGTGAAAACCGGTAATTAACCTATAGGGCAAACCCACTGAGTCCTGGTGCCAATGTGGGTTTTTATGCTTGGGGTAACTGGGTAACCCAAACAGCCTACAACACCTTCGCGTCGGCACCACTCCCCACAACCACAGCTCCTTCCTCCATCCAGCTTGCCTCGTCGCCGCCCTATTGGGCACTTCTTCCACTGTCAAGCCTGCCTCACCACCTCCTGCCAGCTGCTGACTATCTTCTGTGCTCTGGAGGCTTCCCGGCAAGCAGCTACACACACACACCGTGGACGACTGACAATTGAGGGCGCAACTGCACGGATCTGGCAGGTGGCCGACCGGGATGATTGGGTGGTGCTTCGCAGTGTTGAGCTCGTAGATCCTGTGCAGGTTAGCTGCATCCGGGCCAGCGGTGGTGCCCTTCCTCCCTCCTAGCTATAGTCCGCTAGTGCGCCCCTACCATGCCTGCGGATGCGACGAAGTGGCGCTGGCATGGGGCTGGTGCGGCGTATGCGGCCGTCTGGACTCCGGAGACCATGGAACATGGAGCTGCAATGTGTGCAAAGGAGCACCTGCTACTTAATATTGCGAGTTGATTCATCTGTTCGCTTCCAACTCTTTTTCTTCCCTCTCAAATCGTGCAATTCTTATACTAGATTTTGCTTAGTTATTCAGATTTGGATTGCTTTCCGCCATGGTTGTGAAGTGTTCCCCTTTCCTGACTAATTATGCCACCATACTTTGTACATAGTTTTGTTAATCAATTTGTATTTGATTGATCCTCAATCCATCCATGATTGTTTTGGAGTTGGATGAGACCATGCTGAGACACTGTCTGGCGCCATGCAATATGGTGGCAAGTTCAAGCCAGAGTGGTCAAAGAAGAGCGGAGGACATGGCAAGCGTCTCGACTCACAAGGATGAGGACATCAAGAGGCCGTCAGTGCTGGTGTTTATTAGGTCAACCCAGAACCCAAAGACCCAAAAGTTGTAACTGATTGGATCAACCCAAAACCCAACACAGACTGGCTGGGTAGAATGGGTCACCATCTGGGCTGACCCATTGCGACCCACCTTCGAGGCAGAGAGGAGGCACCAGTGGGTGCTGTGAATTGGTTGACATGGGAGGTAGCTGCTGCTGTTGGAGCTCTCAGAAGGCATGCTTGAGAGGGTGCTATGCACACGAGGGACAGGCGGCAGCTGATACACGAACTGCTGAGGCACAAGAGGATATTGCAACTAGGGCTCGCAATGGGTTATGCGCTGCTAGGCCTTGTATTGGGCTTTAAGTGGCTAATGGTCTGTAGCTGACTAACTAGTAATAGCTCACGTACAACAACAACAACAACAACAACAAAGTCTTTAAGTCCCAAACAAGTTGGGGTAGGCTAGAGTTGAAACCCAGCAGAAGCAATCAAGGTTCAGGCACGTGAATAGCTGTCTTCCAAGCACTCCTATCTAAGGCTAAGTCTTTGGGTATATTCCATCCTTTCAAGTCTCCTTTTATTGCCTCTACCCAAGTCAACTTCGGTCTTCCTCTGCCTCTCTTCACGTTAGTATCCTGGCTTAGGATTCCACTACGCACCGGTGCCTCTGGAGGTCTCCGTTGGACATATCCAAACCATCTCAACCGGTGTTGGATAAGCTTTTCTTCAATTGGTGCTACCCCTAATCTATCATGTATATTATCGTTCCGAACTCGATCCCTTCTTGTATGACCGCAAATCCAACGCAACATACGTATTTCCGCGACACTTATCTGTTGAACATGTCGTCTTTTCGTAGGCCAACATTCTGCACCATACAACATAGCAAGTCTAATCATCGTCCTATAAAACTTGCCTTTTAGCTTCTGTAGTACCCTTTTGTCACATAGTAGTAATAGCTCACGTACATTCCCATTTTTTACTTCTCTTATTCGATGCATATGTGTTTAAGGTGTTGCCTCATCTCACGCTTTAGAGCAAAAACCGTGACGCGTACCGGGGTCACCACACCTCGCCTTGCTATTAAGAGTTAAGAACCATGTTTGCAATAGCTAAACTGTAACTTTATAAGTTTTTCATGATCGGAAACAGAAACCCCATGAGAAGACATAAATTCTTCTCAAAAATAAGTACTCCCTCCATCCACAAAAGAATGCAATTCTCGTTTCCCAAGAAGTCAATCTGTTTGAACTTTGACCAAAATTATATAAAAAAAATACTAACATTTCTGATGCAAAATTAGTATCATTAGATTAGTTATAGAATATATTTTTCATAATAAATTTATTTGGAGACATAAATATTAATACTATTTGCTATAAACTTGGTCAAACTTGAGCTACTTTGATCGGCACGAATCCTATAATTGCATTCTTTTCTAGACGGAGGGGGTAGATTGCTAACTACATCAATAAATGTACCAGTCCATAGCAGTTATTACTATCTAGTACTGACATGGAGAGAGGGGAGTTCTAAAGTGTACCTCTGTCCTGTAGCGAGTATCTGGAGGTGGAAGCTTCAGTTGGGCCTTCCAGTCTTGTGAACTGCAAAAGGATAAAATTTAAAGTCTGGTCTGTATCTATAGCACATACCATGAAGGTCCAAGAAGAATTGAACTGCACATATCCCCAATTCAAGAAACATTTTTCCATACAACTCCATGAAGCGGAAGCACATCCAGAGGATATACTTGCCCTTTCAACTATAACTACTGCATCACAAGGCATTTTCAAAAGGAAACAACTAAATCATAAAATGTACTAATCCCACCTACTTTTAGCAACGATGTAACAAAACCATTTCTATGTAGTGGCATATAAAAAACTTCCCAACTACTAACTCATGTCAGAAGGGCGGACCTGGCACAGTGGTAGACTCTCTACACTTGTGAACTGGAAGCGGTGTTCCCCTGAATTGCGGTTTAGTAACCCGTTTAATTGGCTAAACAATAAGTGACTGCCTCTTTAACTTTTACTGTTTAGGTGAACACTGCCAGTGGTCCAGGGTTCGAATCAGCCACCTTGCAAAATAAGCAAGGATAAGGCTAGCTCGAAATTTGCTTCCCCAAACCCCACCCCTTGTGTGGGAGCATTTCGGCAGTGCATACACTTTTACTGACTCAAGTCATTGCGGTGACCCTACATGCATTTAAGCAAACTAAACTGGAAAGAATAAGAACCATGCTTTCCTATGAACAAAGCTCACATCTACATGTTTCTCCAAAATATAAACAACAGCATGCTCCATCAATTGTGCCACAGTACGCAATCTTATTGACAAAATTACTTCATAAGAAGCAATCTCTGGATTATTTAACAAATGATGTTGTGTTTGGTACGCTTCCACAAAACTTATGATCAGACGCTATAATTCCCCTGTCTAGCACCATAAGTTGACTACAAACACTGAGCGCTCTACCACAAAAACCGAATGGTATAATTCCGCCACCTAACCAAATTTCAAATCCATAAATCACACAAACATGAACCCTCTGTATCGATATCAAATAAGTTGCAGACATTTCACGTGCTTCCATCACCTTGAATCGATGTTGTCGGCAGCAGGCAGCGCCCTCTGTGCGCTGGCTTCTACGGCCTCGCCAGCGATCTGGTTGCGCCGAAGCCACTGCTGCTGCTGCTGCTGCTGTTGCTGGTTGTGGTGCTGCGGCTGCGGCTGACGCTGCACGAACTGCTGGTGGTGCGCCTGCGACGGTGGCCGCGGCTGCTGGTGGTGATGCTGCGGCGGCGTCTGTTGGTGGTGATGCTGATGCTGCGGTGGCGGTGGACCGCGGCCATAGTAGTTAGGGTTCCCGCCGCGGCCGTTTCCCATGCCGGGAGGGTACCTGGCCCGCGGATCCATCGCAGCGAGAAGCGCTAAAATCGAGGAGAAATCAGGCCAGCGGGTAGATCCGACCCGAGGACGACGACTCGGCAGGAGGAATCAGGTGTTGGATGCTCGAATTGGGAAAAAAATTCTGGGGCTGTTTCCGTGGTGTTTCCCTGTTTTGGTGAATTCGTGGGTAGGGGAGGGCCGGTGGGAGGATTCGGAGGAAGCGTCGCGCCGTCGCCGGCTCGCGACGAACTTGAGCTAGACGACAGGCTAGGGCAACGGCGAACTTGGGACGACAGAGTTGGAATTACAAAATGGCCCTTCTTCCTCTGCACGTACGGTTTTTTCCTCTGCTTTTGCCGATGTGGCTATATCCCGACTCCCGAGGTTGCAGTTTCGTACATGTGTACGAAACAAGATGCATAACCGTTGATTAATTCCCAATTCAGACCTCGTTCCACCGTATAACTTTATACCGGTCACGTCAAATATCAGACAAATACATAAAGTATTAAATATAGACTAAAAAATAATTAATTGTACCGTTTACAACTAATTTACAAGACGAATCATTTAAGTCTAATTAGTCCATAATTTGATAATAAAGTGCTAGAGTATACATGTGCTAATGACGGATTAATTAGGCTTAATAAATTAGTCTCGCGATTTACCGATGGATTCTGTAATTTATTTTTTTATTAGTATCCGAACACCTCATGCGACACTCCCATGTAACATTCGATATGACATCCCAAAACTTTACACGCTGGATCTAAACAAAGCCTCAATTGCCTCTCGATTTGCTTTTGAACCATAAAACAGTATTTTTCTCTCACAATATTTTAGCATAACCATCAGCATAAGCGAACATGGTATAAAGTCTCGTTCTGGGATAGGTACTTTAGAATTTTAGATATCAAATTCATTTATTTTTCCCCATTCTTCTACAATCACTAAAACCATGCATTCTATGAACTGTTGGCACGTGAATAGAGAGAAAATTGATGTTGAGACTTGAAAAAAAATTTAGTGTGTATTGATTTTTTTTGTGCAACTATGTTACTTCAAATGTGTGGAGGCGTTGGCGCCCCACGGGCTCCCACCACCCTTTTTCCTGTGGGTTTGTGGAATAAGTTCGGTGCTATCTAAGCTCGACTGCCAGACTGAACAAGTTGAGGGCCCACTATACATATGCATCGTATGAGACGTGTGTAGGGAGCGAGACGGATGCGGCTCCAACCCTAGGCCTCTGGTGGTCGTCCCCCCTCCCCTCGTCGGTGGCCCACTCTACCTCCCTTCACCTCCGTGAGCCCTCCTCGACCCCGGATCTAGGCACCATCACAAGCACGGGCTCCTTAGGATGTGCCACCACCACATCCAACACCGCCACCAAATCCCCACTGCCACAATCGCCATTCACCGGTTTGCCGCCGCCGGTCCCCACCTCTCCTCCCTTCCTCCAGCGCGCTCAACCTTCCCCTATCGCGCGCGCCTCTGCAGGGCGTAGTTGCGAGTGCTGATGATCATGATGCTCGCCCAACGACATCACCCGCTGGGCCCACGCCTTCCCTCAAAAGCAGCGCCCCACCAGCCGTCGTTGCTGATAGATCTAATGGCCCCCTCATCGTCCCTATCGCGGGGTGGCTTCGACGGCACCAGCCCCCACCAAGCTCGTGCCCTGGCAGCGACGGCAGGCCAGTTCCATGCATCCAGGCGACTGGGTCCGCTAAGCGTGCTCAGGCGATGACGAGGGCTACCCCAAGCACCTAGAGCTTCCAGCAGCTCGCTCAGCACGCATCCTCATCCCCGCTGCCGCTGACGTCGGTCCCCACCACCGCAGCCGCCACCTCCAGCAGCTCGCTCTCACTGGCTGTGACTCCCTTCTACCCTTCGGGCGAGCGCACGAAGCACCGTCGGTGGGCGGATGACGACAGCGAGGAGTCCGACGATGACCACACCACAACCTACCTGGATGATGTTCACCGACCGATGAAGCTGGTAACTGCGTCGTCGCAGCCATGTGTGGTCATGGGGGACACGCGTGGCGCCAACGGCGCGGAGCTCGGCGGTCGGGGCACTTCCGTTGAAGCCAAGAGGTGGCGCAGGCTTCACAAGCGTCTCTGAGCATGACCATAGCTCCTCCACGGGCTACCTATCCGTGACAAGGATGTGGGTGGCGGAGCCTCTCGGGTCACAAGCGATGGCACACGGCGCTTGTCGGTCCACCAGAGGCTCGGCCCATGGGTATCTGCCGGCAATCCCCTTCGCATCTCTGCCCAGACTTGGATGGCTGGCGTAAGGTCTTGCCATGAGGGACAACAAGTGGAGGCGAGGGGATAGTTCCTAGCTAGCCAGCGAGTCATTGACCACCGAGGCACATCCCGGTAGATCTTCACAGCAAGTGCCTCAATTGCCTCTCCACCGTGCATCGGGTGGCAACCTGCATGTTGCCCCAATGATGTCTGTGGTGCAGGGGATTTTGACCCATTGCGTGTGACTACAAGCAACCAAGGCACGCGGGCTTTGGGAGCTTGGGCAATGCAAGTGCCATGGGTCGCTAGCCACAACGCCCTCTTCGTGGCACCCACAATGCCTACTCTGTTGGGCTAGTGGACCACTGTGGTTCGTGAGACTCTGGTGGGGTCCAAATGGATAGCACCGCTCTTGCCATAGGTGGTCACTGGCACCAACGATGGAGGCGTCACAGGCGGCCAGTAGGGGCCGCCCAAACACCATCGGCCTTCACCTCAGTCATTGCTAGAGCTAAGGCTAGGCACGATGAGCTAACCAACGAGACGGGCATTGTCGAGCCTGACTCATTGGCGTTGATGACGTACCTAGACGCCATGCATAATTGTAACATCACAGAGGACCCGATGTTAGAGGAATTCATAGCCTCGCTCACCGGTAGTCGGATCATCGCGTGGCCTTCTCTTGAGCGTCTGTTGTCACCTTCGATGGCCCCCCAGCTACAGGATGAGGCCTCGGCGGTGGCAGCCCCCTAGCTAGAGGATGAGGACCTGGCAGCGGTGGTCTCCTGTGTGCTATGGACACCACCCCGATGCCCCATTCAGTGGGTACTGGACTCGGTGAAGGCACACAGAGCATAGCTACCCACCAACTTTGGACCGGTCAACCTCACGGTGGATGGTGGCCCTCCCAGTTCACCACCGTTGGAGACCCACCAGATGGTGGACAACGACAACTCCACTAGACACCTCCTCGGCAGCTTGATCAACAAAGTGACGTGTGAGAGGGACTCCCCGCTGATTTGAGAGTTGCCCAAGTAGCCGCCTGCAAAGCCAGTGCTGTCGCTGCAGAGCGGATCAGAGCCTCTCTCGAGTACCTGCTTCCAAGCGAGTGAGATGCTGATCATGTAGCGTATGGGCTATACCGAGGGTCCATCAGCGCCATCCGTGATGGAGCTAGAGGCCTTTGACAACATCTTTAAAGGCAATCTGACTGCGTCCAATGTCGAAGCACTTGACGTGCTCTTCCTGGACAGTGGAAAGGGCTCATATAGGCAACCACGAAGATGTAAGGCCAACTCCTAGGTCGCACCGCTGCGTCAGTATTGTTGGAAAACTAGGTTTGTAGCAAGTGGGACACGATGTGGCCTCCACCCAGTTGGGTGCTCTGGGCGAAGGTAAGGAAGGTGACAGGTGGGTCCAGGCTCAATCAGGGTTTCATAAATGGTTTCACCCACCTCCCCTACATAGCATGTGGCTCTATCTTATATAGGGTACTATTTGCTACTGTTCCATTATACAAATTTGTCCTATTACAGCTATGGTACATTCCTAGAATATCCTTAGACTAGTACAAATCTTCAGGGGCTTTTCCTCCTGCACCGCCTTTGCTTCTTGGGCCTTAGCCATAGGCCCACGGGAGGCCTATCTTTGACTCTGGGCCACGGTGCTGCAAGAACCCCCTTCTCTTGGGCAAGGATCACACGGCCTCCACCCGAGCCACCGGAGCCTCTGCCTTCGCTCTGCGACCTCCGCTAAGAAACTCTTCCGAATATCTTCGGAGCTGTGCTTGGGCCTCTGCCTTGCCAGCGGTCAAACGTGAAGGCCCCTCCTGGTACACATGCGCTTCATCACACATGTAAGCAGTTGATGTTATGTAGGAGCCTCTGCTACTCATATGTCTATGTCCCAATAGCTCCTACTTGAGGGCATGGTCTGATACGAGCGGGCCATGACCCTCAATTTTACCGTTGATATTGAGTTGTGGAGGCTTCCCCCCTTTCCCCCTGGGTCACCCGGATCAGACCATTGTTGGTTGTGATGTGTCTCTTTCTTATTGGTTGTGGTGGCTCAGGAACCGACGTGTTGTTGAACGGATGTGACCGTTGGGCGCAGAAGTTGAAACGCCCACCCGTGGCCTATATAAGGGGTGGTAGCTGAAGCCCCCCCCCACGCCACCTGAACCATCGCTTTTGCCCGTTTATCTTTCTAAGCCTCCTTTTGCTTTTAGCCTTCGCTTAGTTGCGGCTTGCCTTGGCTTCTTTTTTGGTCTTTCTAGTTCTTTTAGAGGTGGCTTCTGCTATCAGCTCTCCTCCTCGTTAGGCTACCATCTTCGATCCCTACTCCCACCTCCTTGGTGTTAGGGCTATTGGTTGGTTTGTGCAGTTTGAGGAGGCATGATTGCTATTGCGGAGGCCTAGGAGCTTGAGGAGGATCTGGCTGGTGTTGAGACCTCAATTGGTGATTTGGTTGGGGCTGAGGAAGCGGAGGCCATGGCTGGGAAGACCTGGGGTTTTGGGCCTTTGCTCAAGACTAAGAAGATGATCCTTCAACTCGATAAGGATGGCTGCATTCCCCAAGGTTGGGCCAAGCTTTCGCAGGGTGAGACTGTCCCATCACCTAGTAAGTACTATGACGTTGTCTTTAAGGACTACTTTGCTTGTGGCCTTCGCCTCCCCTCCATTAAGTTTCTTTGTTTGGTGCTGGAGGAATTTGATGTCCAGATTCACCACCTTACCCCTAACGGCTTCCTTACTTTGAGTAAGTTTTGTTGGACCAGCA